TCCAAAGTGAATTTTTTGAGATTCTGACCAGCAAGATGTGTTTAATAGCATATTATAAGCATTTCTTACTCGTTACTTTATGAAAAAAGGTGTTTTAGAGAGCTCTGATAGCCATCAAAGTTTTGTCGGAATATGAAAATTTACTATGTAGACCCAAGAATTCGACAAGGTGGGAGGGGTAGATCAGTGAGGTGATGTAGGCTATTACAGCCTGTGTAACATTGTATTTGTCATGGTTACACAAACATGTTATCCTCATCATCATACTGCTTTTTCACAAGGGTTGTGTTTCCTTCATTGATACTCGCTCATTGTGGTGAAACTACACTACTTTGAGTTTGATCCAAATAACTCAACCCACTCCACCATCTTCTTCGTAACCATTAAAATGCAGTAGAGAGAACACCTCACACATGGATGAATCAAATATTACATAATTAGCACCATATTGATAATCTCTCAAACATGGATCACAATCGAGAATGACTCAGGACCAACTATTGTCAATACTTCGTTGCAATATAATATCGATAATCTCTTAAACATGAATCAGAATCGAGAATCATAACTCAGGACCAACCATTGTCAGTACTTAGTTTCAATCTACATTATCTGAGTTGAGTGAAGTGTACCTGTCAAAGAGCGGATACTAATTCCAGCACAAACAAAAGTGAGACTTCACCAAACAAGGAACGCACTGATCGAGGCAAAGATTACTCTTTACAATCGGAAGACAATGTCTATTATCATGGCCGACAAACTCAACCTTCCCATCCTTCTTCATCTTTGAAACATCCGAAACCCGGCATGTCCGCGATCCATTTATCAGTTCATCCGAACGGAAGTTTTGATAGCATCTCCAACAGTATATAAAGGGTTGTGAATTCATTTAGTGAAATTATCTCATATTTGACTCTCACTGTATTTCATATTGTCTTTTAATAATTATCCTTCTCTTATTATCTATCACAACCCGCGTTTATCACACCCATGCCCCCTCCAAACAAGCGACAAAGACGCGCCAAAGAGCAGCGGAACAATACCACTTACAAGCATTTTGGATCCATTTCACCGTTACTTGAGGATCGCACTGTGCAAATCCCGATTGTTGAAGATCAGGAACTTGACGATTTCGAGATACTTGCATCAATCGACGATGAACCTGATTCGACTGCTTCTATACCTGATTTTGGTATACGATCGAGTAATGAAGTGTGCTCACGTGGCCCATACTGGGGAAATGGAAGAACGACAAAGTACTACCGGCAGCAAATAGCAGCAAAGAAGGCAAATGGGTCTTACCGTATTACCGATTTCATGCGTAGCACTGCTGAAACAACCGACACAGAAGCGTCGCAAGAGACGACAAGTGCCAATGAAGAATGGATAGAGTCGCTGCTCGACTACAAGCCGATGATGACTATGGAAGAAGCATGCGAACGGCTGGAACCTCTCGTTGTTCCCCGAATGAACATTAAGAAAGAGGCGGAAAGGGGCTTGAATGACTTTAAGCTGAGAAAATACATTGCGGTCCATGCGTATTTCCGCGAACGCGTTGGAGGCAAAGGAGCAATAGCAGCATCTGAAATAGCAGCTAGGATTGCATGGATATGTCCATCCAAGTATTATCGACCCATGGTAATTCGATGTTTTTATGCCAAACAGTATCTCGAGACTGGCCGCATTTCACCACATCAGCAAGGCAAACACGTCAAGCGATTATCACTTCTAAGTGATGAAGACGTGGCTGAAGCAGCACAGCATTGGCTGAAAGAAACAAAACCACAGCATAGAGACTTGCCAGAATTGTTGAAGTTTCTGAACGAGATTGTCATTCCGACACTCCTTGGACTTCCAGGACAAATATCAGCTTCTGTCCTAAGCAATTACCTTCATGAATGGGGCTACAAGTATCGTACGAACAAAAAGGACGTTTACGTCAACGGTCACGAGCGCGAAGATGTGGTGAAATATCGTCAAACCTGGGCAGCACAGATGATTGAATATAAGCAATTCATGGAAACGTATCCTGAAGGGCAAGAGCATGTCATCCAAGAACCTCGGCTACCGGAAGGACAAAGGAAGATTGTCATGGTAACCCATGACGAATCAACCTTCTACTCAAACGATGGCAAAACTGATCTTTGGCTCCATGAAGGTGAAAATCCAATCAGAAAGAAGTCTCCAGGAGGATCAATCATGGTTAGCGAGTTCCAGTGCCCATGTCATGGAACCATGAGGATCAAAGGTTGGAAATCACGGAAGTTCTTTTTCGCAGGTGTGAACCGTGATGGCTACTGGACCTCAAAAGATATGCTGGAGCAGCTAAAAGAAGATGCCATTCCTCTCTTTGAGCGACTCCACCCTGACTGCCAGGCTTTGTTTGTATTCGACCAGTCCAGCAACCACAATGCCTACGGAGCAAGTGCAAAATTAGCAAGCAAATTTACCTTGAAGGACAAAGTGCTAAAGGGGATCGAAGAAAGAGTTATCTTACCTGGCAAGTACACCGATTTTAACGGCGAACAGAAGATACAGAACTTCTATATTTTGCAAAAAGAAGTAGTCAAGACAAAACGTGGTCCAAAAGAGGTCCGAACCTGGATTCAAAAAGGACTTAGGACTATACTGGAAGAGCGTGGTCTTGGTCGTTGGAGTGAATTCGAGGCAAAGAAACAACATTGGATAACCAATTGCAAAGCTCCTCCAGATGAGTACAATGACTGCTGCCCCTTCCATATGCTTCAAGCTCAACCTGACTTCGTTGCCCAAAAAACGATGTTGCACGAAGCTGTACTCAAGGCAGGCCATCTCTTTGCATTGTATCCGAAGTACCATTGTGAAACCAACTGGATCGAAAGATACTGGGGCGCGTCGAAACGTATTACAAGAAAAGAGTGTAATTACTCTTATTCTTCCTTAAAAAATAATCTCGATGGCTATCTTGATCGCACGTCTCCTCCTGATGATCCTCCTTTGGCAATACGTCGATACTACAACCGTTGCTGGCGTTATATCCAAGCATACAAGGATATGAAAGACGATCGTGAAGCTGCCAAGATCGTAGAGAAATTTACTTCTAGAAGTTACAAATCCCACCGCAGAATTGGAGCAAGTGATTAGTTTTTATTTTTACCTCTGTTATTTCTGACTTTTATAAATAAATGAGTATAGCTATCGATCATGTAATTTCCTGACTAGTGCAAACATAGAGTATGATATATGAAGAAACATATCGGGTGTTTCGGGTGCAAATTTAGCCGCGGTGTTTCAAAAATTCTCAATTTTCGATAGCTCACGGTTTAAGTCAGTATGCACCATATGTATTAGATATTATATTAGTAGATGAAGATAACAATAGCATTTATATATAATAATGGTACTATTAAATAATATTTTTAATAAATAAAAGATTTAACAATTTGAAAATAATTATTAAATTATATAAATATGATAAATAATATAAATAAATTATTTTTATTAGTCTGAAATTATGATTTTTAAATAAATGTAAGGTTATCCTATTGGTTTATTTAGCAACTTTGACAACCTTAAGAATTATTAAAGTATGAAAATGAGTGATACTGGCTTGAGCCACATTGATACGTCTCTATGAGCATTCGTCATATAATTACTTACAACAATGCTAAGCCCACAATTACTCTTGAGATGGAATACGGTTGTTGACATGCGAGTGAAAGCAGCTGTGACATCACCACCAACTGGGATTATTGTTTTTCAGGTAAGGGATGCTTCAGAGTTGCAACTGTCTTACTGATTTGTAAATGAATATCATCTGGGAACTCTATACTATGATCCAAAGCTTTTGCTAATATTTATGAATGAAGTTTTTCCAATGTAGCTGCACTATAAGTAGCTGATAGTGCTTCTCCATATTGACTAGGCTTGAGAAGTAGGATGTGGGATAATGCTGTAATTTTATAAAATTGAGTGTTGACCTCCAAACCGCTTCTACTACAACTAGCTGCTTGCAATTCTTGCTGATTATATTTGTGAAATCTTGCTGTCACATAACGCCATCAATCATGAATGATTCTTCTGGCACTGAGCAAAGGTCAAAATCAAATGGGAGCCACAACATAGCTTTGTGTATAGGATTGAAAAACCCGTTGTAGGCTTCTGGTTCTCCAAGTAGTTGAGCATATTGTAGTTGTTGTGTCATACCTGGTGATTGATATGGCTCCTTTGGTAATATGCTAGGAGAGATAAACATTGACTTATTGAATATAGAAAAATTATAAGATTTTAGAATTTTATAATATTTATATATATAAGTAAAATAAATATATATGAGATTAAAATCAAAATATTAAATATTTTTAATTTTCTTAGTATTGAAATAGATTAAAAATAAGTTTATTTTATAGTAATATTAAGAAAAACAAATTGTTTTCTTGTTTATAGAAATAGAAATATATAAAAATATATAACATTTATCTTTTCTTCTATTTAATACTTCAAAAGAGGTTCAAATAAACCTGATAAATTAATATCATTAATTTTAGAAATTAAAGATAAAGAATATAAATAGATAGAAGAAAAAGAATGGTTTTTCTTTTATATTATAATTTATATATTATAAGTAATTTTAAAATAGTGAAATGACATAAAAGTAAAATGTTTATTGTCATTGATTATTATTGATAATTATTTTATAAAAAGAAAATTCTTTTTTTTTCTTTTCTGTCTAGTATAATACTTCGGGAGGATTATGAAAATATATATTTAGATATATTGATATATTCAAATAATGAGTAAAAATGATTAACCAACATAGATTTGGTTCAAGAAACGAAGAATGAAAGAAATTCTGGGGAATATAGAACAAAATCACCACCCTAAAGCACACAGAAGAAGAAGTGGATAGGAAATCAGTTCTCGCAATAGAAATCAAGAGACTAAAACAAAAAAGGAATATATACTTTACAAACTATGTACATGTTGTAGTTGCTCTTGACCAATGCTGACTAGACAAATACATGACAGCAAAAGCAATCAATGCAAAAGGCAAAAAGGCTGACAACGAGGAGGCTTCTTCAACAAGGGCCCTCAAGGATTACACCAGCACACCGACTTTGAGTGACAGACGAAGCATGGATGTGCCACATTGTACCAACCTCAATATACTCAAAAGGCAAGCTGAGCAAGAGGACAAATCAATCAACTACAGTGGAACTGACTAAGGCATTGCTGTTGAGGCTTGTACATCCCACGTAACTGAGGCTCAGGTAATTGGAGTGATACAAGTTGACAAAGTGAACAAGGGTAGACAAATACCAAGCAATTAAGTACTATCTATATTGGAACCAAAGCTGCTCCACCTATATAACATCCGGGCCAAAGATGTATCAATTGCTTCAGGAGCTGTTGTCGCAAGGTGCAAGAACAACAACAATATTGCTATGCTTTATTTTTGGATCAACTACTATCTTATTTAAGGGCACTGGCTACGATTAAATTAGGCTTACACTGACATTTTTTATATGATAGTAGCCTAAAGAGGTGCTTGTCGCTAAGGAAATGCTGGCGAAAAAGTCTTTAGACCTTACCATTAACAAAAACCAAACAATTCTACACTACCAGGTACCGTTTTAATACTCTAATTTTTTTGCAGTGTATACTTACTATTTTCATTTTGCTATATGCTTTAGAAGGCTGTCAACAAGCAGGCTGTCATGAAAAAGTACCACAACAGTAAAAAACATCAATATGACAAGTACACAATCCAGTTTCAGCAGAGTCATGCATATGACCAAATGTGTTCGAAAGAGCGTCAGTTTGTTTCTGGCAGTATTATCAAGGATGTCATCCCCATGATGTATATTGTTGGAACGCAAGGAACGGAAGTGGGTAGTCGATTCAGTAGCCATGAGCGAAGAGGCGGCAAGAAACGTAGACAAATACATAGAAGGAACTGTCCAGTAGTAATGACGGGTGAAAGAAACACAAGTCAGATGTGTTGTACCTGCCTGAACCCTGTTATTCGACAAAAGTGTATGAAAGATGGGAAAACAAAAAAGATACATAGGGTATTGCATTGATCAAGAACATATCATCGGCAAGCTCCTTATGTTAGATACAAAAAAATCTTCTTTTCTTGTATTATCCACATTCTATAATAGCCTTAAAGGTTATTATGAGCCTCTTTAATTAATTTTTTTCTTTTTTCTTTAGATTCATAAAATTAAATCACTATTGACATCAATAAATTAAATGTTAAATAAAATTGCATTTTATTTTAGCTTTAATTATTAATGATCAATTCCCCATAAGAACAGTACTTGTTGTTCCATCACCACTTTATCATGAATATACAATTTTAAATGATGTATTGCATTTGCTTCAGCTCGAGTTGCTTCTTTTTCTCTCCTGTAGTTGTAAAGCTTTTCTGTGTGTAAGATCTTTTTAACATAAGTAATAATTTAACAGATTTAATAGTACTTTCTTTATATGTATTTATTTGATCTCAACTACAAGCTTCTCACATGTAAACATTGTATTACTATTCTATGTTCAAAATATACCTTGAAATGGTCATTCTTCGTACTCATCAACCAAGCCTTCCTTTTACTCTGCCTTTTCACACGATTCAAAGTATCACCAAGGGCTTGTTTTATTTCACACTCCCCATCTCTATGAGAAGTGAATTGGAAATGCTGGTAAAACCAGATCAATGAAAAATTCTTTTCATGAAAATGCGATTTTAAAAATTATAAACTTTCTTTATCTTCCATGTTGGTGAAGAGACAAAGAAAAGGAGAGTTGAAGAAAAACTTGTATGAAAAAGAAAAAGAATGTGCGCACCCAAAATTGATATAGGTCAGCTAGTATCATATTACCGCTGCAGCAGTCAGATGTGCACTGATCAATTCAAGATTTTTAGTACGATACTGCTAAATACAATATAAATGTGTTGTTAGTAAACTTGTTATATAATCTAGTACATGTTTATTTGTTTATGACAGCACATTACTTCACAGACTATCAGTTTATTCGTGTTTTCCTATTACTTCGCGTACCCCCTCCTCTATTTTACTTTGGTACACTCAGTATAATTTCACATTTGTGTCCCATTTTCTTTATCTTCGCGTTTCAATATTTATGTTTGCATCCTAGTTATTATTCTTGAAAATTTATTCTTTTCTATTGATAATGATGTAGATTCAGAAAAATAGGTATAATAATTTTAAACTGAACAGCAAAAGTTACACTTCTTCTCCACCAGATGACATCATGGAAAAAATGACTTAGAGAGTGATATCCAACCCCAGCAGTCCTTAGGATTTACTTGCTTGACAGATTCGATAATACGTGGTGTCAAGGTATCATCCTTGGTCAAAAGGTCGCACCTTACACCAAAATTCAATTTCGACCAGAATAATTTATAATGGTGAATATGATGGAAGATATAAAATTTTATATCCTCCTCTGTCTTTAGCTACTTGATGTACCAAATTCGCATGATGAATTCTAGCATTATCCATTACAAGAGTTTTACCGTACATGTTGTTTTTAACAAGTGCGTCCAATACTAATTCCAAAAAATCCAGAAAGTGCTGTGTTTGTGTCCCAATATATTAGCAACTATACTTTTCTTCTCCCTGCCATGCAACTTTCACTTCTTCGATCTAAGTACGGCTTGAGGACTTTTCGAAAACAACCATTTGCGTCTTGACGTGATTCAATTAGCACAGTTCCTCAGAGCCGAAAAGGTCCATATCGTCTTCGTCCTCATCGGCAGCAGCGGCAGGAGCAGCAGCAGTCCTACAAAGTTAAAATTCGGGTCAGTTTCTTGATAATCACCCGTCCTTCTCTGGCAATAGCGCCTAAGAACTTAACCGGTCTACTTGTTTACTGGTGGTTTAATGCGCAGCTTTTTTACTGGATCAACTTGGAACTTTTCCGTATCATACTGTTCCGTAATAATCCAATAAGCAAAAATAAATGGATAAAAAATGATACTCGATGTAAACCATAAAATCTATAATGTATCATAGTAGACTGAATAAGTCTAATTACATACATACAGTACGGAGAAATGAACGAGAGCAAAGTCAACATTGGGTGGTAGTACATATAATAGTGTTTGATATTATTTATCGAAAAGCTATCAGCAATCGTAAAAATTACGACATATCCGTTGAAGCGTAACATTATCAGAATACTATTTTTTCTTGTTCTACCATTTCCTTTTTTACTCGTACAGGTCATCAAAACACAGTTAAGTATAGCTTCACATATGCTAAAAATCCCCGATATCATGACTCGCGCTGTTGTAATGACCCTTTCGATAGAGATTGGTTATTAATAAGCTGTAGTATATACATACGATCATACCTTTTAGCTGTATCAAAAGTGTTTCGAGAAGTAAAACAACTACACATTGTATATGATGACATACAAATAAGCAGGTGTTTCTATCATTTTTATGTGGGCAGAAAAATGGCCCTGGGCGAAAGGGGTTAGCCAGCTAGCAAAGTTAGTGACTAATTTAAAAACTGCTACAAGGATTTTGGGGCAATTTTTTGGAATTACCTTCCGCGAAAGTAAAAATAGGGGACGCGCAGTAATAGGAAAAAACCACTATCACTTCGCATTCGGTCATACAGACCAGCAAATGAAAGTGTGCGGGTTTACAATAGTACCACACATGACATACCTACATTCAGACAATGCTCGCTGTCTTGATACAGTTGACCCTCGTTTTTTGCACCTCCACTTTTGCAGGTCCTCAGTTTTTGCAGCTTTTTTTGGAGGAATCCCGTTCATCACTTAGTTAAATTGCAGTTTCCTCACTTTTTGCATTTTGCAGCCCAAAAAGAAGGACCTGCAATTTTCCGCTAGTAATTTTCATTCTATTAGAGAGCGGCGACGCTGAGAATCGAACCAATGATGTTTGTTCTGGCTTTTCTTGCAGAAATCATCCCAGACTTTTCTGAGTTCATTCCAGATGTTTTGATGTTCTGGGGCATCTAAATACTAGTTGTTTTTTCTTGCAAACTATATACTAGTGTAACAGGTTCAGATGAAACAGTCATGCTAGCATCTTCGTTGCCGTTGTCAACAACATCATCATCAGCTATTCTTTCATTAAGAACAGCACTAACAATTTCTTCATTGGACAGCAGCGGATTAACAGCTGCAATTTCCTCAGCTGGATCTGCATCAAAAGTGAAGTTCACAAGGTTATTGGCACTATAAATAAGGCTTATATAGTCATTGATCTGGCTAAGTGCAACTTCGTCTGCATTGTTTGATTCACCGTTAGTGCTGTTAGTCATGACTGCACCTACTAGATTTGTGTAGTGCATTTTCTATGGTGATATAATACTGATAGGCTGCTTCATTATTTCGTCAGTAAGCTTTTCCTATGATTTTCCTTTTGTCATGATGTATGGTGTGAATAGTGTGTATAAAACAATTGCAAAAAGAATTAGGTCTTTTTATTTAAAGTTGCAATGTAAAAGTAACCTCAATGAAGTACTGATGTTGTCAGCCTGTGTAACACCCTTATACCCATCCTCACTTTTTGCAGTTTTTTTCACGAAAAACCGCTACTGCAAAAAACGGTAATGCAGTTACTACCGGCTTTTAATTAACTTACAACTACACCAGTACATAGTGGATGTGTGTCAGCTGAGAAACAGCAGTACTTCAGGTGGTATACACATATGGAGTCCAAAAGGCCAGGAAGAACCCAGCGGTACTGTATCAACTGAAAAGGAATGATGGTTAATACTGTATAATGTATGCTAATATTTCAACATATTAAAGGTTTAACGCTTTAACAGCAATGGAACGGAAATGTAATAATGAGCAGTGTGCGAGGAGCTTTGAGAGATGCATAACAACAGTATAACATACTATATATCATGCTGATACTAATTAAAATCAGTGAAAGGGTTGCGTTGATGATACGTATATATGCATCATGTACGTCTATAAGTATAGTATGTATGTGTAGCAAAAACAACAACTTGCTTATGGGTTATCAAGCTGTCATTTTTTATTTTGTTGATCAAAGCATTACGAGTTGCATTGCTGAGATTACATCAGTTTAGCAATGGAGCACTGTCAGACTACATACATTTAATATCCTCACCATACAAACAGCAGCAGCCCGTGTGACATTTATGCTCATATATTTAAGGACCACCATCCGCTTTTCCTCCCTCTTCTATCACACGCCAAAATAATTATCGCATATCACCCGAGGCACTTTTTATTTTCTGTCAAGAAGGTTCCTTGCATTGTGTTCATTATTTCTTTTCCTTGAAGAAAACAAACAAATACTTGATACGTACAGCAATACAAATGGAGGAAATATTATGGTATCTCCTATTTTATCATATCTTAGCTCTTCACATACAATAAACGACAGTAAGCGAAAGAGGAACACAAACGTTAAATGCCGTAAGAAAATCCAGAATAATTGTATAAAGCTTTATGCTTCTGCATATTCTGCGGGTCGTTATTGACAAAAGAGAAGACATTTTGTATATACAAAGTGGCCTGATAATGAATTGGCGATGATGATCAGCAGTGGCTGGCAGGTATGTGAAAGGCGGCGGCGTACCTGGTGTGGCAACAACAACGATAGCGGTGAGTAATAAGATTATGTGCATATACTACATACATATTGGCGGTGTTTATTGAAGGGGGGCAAGGAGTGGGGGCGTGCTCGGTTGTTGTCCTTTTGTTGTCGCCAAGAATGTCAGGTATGAACAGGGAAAAAGGGGAGCATCTCACACAAAGAAGACAGATCATTCTTGCATATTTGTTTTTTTTTCTATACATCCTATGTTTTATTTTCACCAATCGTATTGGCCCCTACTTCTTGGCTTCGCTTCAATGATACAGTCGCCCTTCTTTAATTTCAAACCGTTAACTCTTAACCCTCGCTATTTTCAGGGTTTTTGGGGCCATCAAACAAACAAGAATAACAGGGAGTACTAGTGTATCATACAAATTTTTCTCGCTAACTATCATTCCTCGCCGATTCCACACAAAATTTGCGAATCCACGCTATGAAATTAACGAGGGTCTACTATAAACGGTTCTTATGCATAGATGCATCACCAAGGTACCGTGGTCCATGTAAATGCTTTACCTCTTTGCTGCTGCTATATACTATGTAGCGCCAGAAGTATGCACAACTGGAGCAGGTTGGGTACGATCATCTTATTCTATGATACAGTAGTACGGATTATCGCATGTACAAGAAGATCACAGAGACCACGATATATATGAGAAAAAGCATTAGTCTGTATACAGTATTAGTACTTTTCAATAAGATATTGGCACGACAAATTGTACAATAAAAATATGATATAAGAGTGAACAATGTTTATGACCTTGTCATGTGTCAAGTTTGAATTTTACTGTTTCCTTTGTTTTGTTCACTATATGATAGGTAGTTGAAAAGTATGTAATTTATTGTGGAAGATCTATAGACCTTCCCTATAGTAATGATATGGTCACTCTTGCGGTACGTATGTGTAGATACATAATTGTGCTCTGGCGTCAGTCTGAAAACCCCCTATTGGGATAAAGACATGCCTGTGTGGTGGTAATACATATTTAAAAAGTAGGGCTTTTGTGCGTAGGAATAATGCTGTAAGAGTGATGTACAGTATGGTTTTCTGCTGTTAGCGATGCGCTGCCATGTAGGGCTTCTACGGGCGCTGGTTCGTCATAGTCGTACTCCTCATCCTTGAGACTCAGCTGGTGGATCTCCCGGAGAACATGCAGTAGTACTAATCATGTCTTTTCCCAATTGCCACGCGTCAGGCCAGCGTGGCTTTTCTTATTTTTATGTCTACATTTAGTACTGTATATCTAAAAGTCCTACATATTTCTCTTATACAGTACCGGTTTCACCTAGATTGACCTTTTACACGATTGGTAAAAAAAAAGGTTTAGTATATTGTATCAGATAACTGTTGAGAAACTATATATGTGTAATCAACAATGTCTCTAATTCTTATGTATAAACTCGTTGAAGCAAGCTATATACTAAAGAGAGTGGTAGCTTTCTTGAAACGTACGGGCGAGAGTTTTTCTTGACTTAATACTTTTACTGCTGCTTAGAAACATTAAATGGACAGAGACAAAAAGTGTCGTTCAATACAGTCTGATAGTGCCTTATTTCAACATTTAAATTCTACTTCTACTATGCTCTCAAAATCACACAGAGAATCAACCTCGATCTTGCAATATACAAGTGCACTGTACTAAAAATCCCTTTATTATGTTTATACATATATACTGTACCTGGATGTCATATATACCTACGTTGCATCACACGCAGATGTTTCCTTAGCATCTCACAAGTATTAAATGCTACATATTTGACTCATTTCAGCTATGTTATCCAATTTATTTTTAAAAGCCTATTATTGCTAAATTGTGGCTACAAACGAGCACAGTATATAGTAGTGTATGATACAATGACTGGTAAAATAAAAGAAAGGCAAATGAGGTACATTCAAGAAATACATACAGAAAAAAAGTTAAGGGAGAATACGAAGGGCTTAAGGGTAAGAAGATAATCTATGATCTCCTCTTAACGTCTAGCTCTCCGACTCCAGAATACCAGACCTTGGAAAACAATGACGTTGAAAGCAAAGTAACAGACAATGATCCCGAAATTCCTCCATCTGTGCTGTTCGGACCACTGGAACATTGAAGTATAATACTCCTTTCCTGACGAATAACTGCAATACCGGCATTGCGCAGTAGCATCAGGATTATCAAGATAACCGGTAGATGTTGGCGAAGAAAGATATTGTTGCATGTACGAGCCACATGTTTGTCCAGGCGGTGGGTCAAGTGTAAGGAAATCTCGAGAATTACATTGAATCGGAAGATCTTTCATTTCGTTCACAGTAAGACCTTTTATAACAATCAGGGTAAAAGTTAGTACATGTATCAAATCAATCGTTTCTCTTTGCTAGTAAGATGTTCAAAACATGACTATCATGCCATCCTTTTTCTACCTTCGACATAATAATGGAATGGGTCCAAAGGATACATCCATGAGCTCCAGAAATAAGGCATTGCTTGTGGAGTCTGCATCAAACCAGCAAACAGAATAAGCATGGAAATAAAGAGTGGATTGATGACAGCTATGAACGATAAAAATTTATTAACGGCGTAAGCAAATAGAGAATAGAGGTTCTTCTGATTGCCATTGGTAAGAAAAAAAGCGGGTGTTGTTGTATAGTGATACTTACAAGCCATCAAGTGGGTTTTCGAAATAGCAGCAATCAAGAATCCAAGCGTGACCGCCCAAAACACAAAGAAGACGAGCAAGATAAAAAAGTAGCCGACTTGATCAGAAGTGTTTGAAAGGCCAGCTGTCCAGTAAAATCCAAACATGAAGAAGGCGCTTAGGAATATGCAATAAGGAATCTCCACCAGAATGGAGGTAAGCCCAAATGGCACAACACCATAGAACCGACTTGCGTACTCTCTTTGAAAGTACAGTCTCTCAGTCATAAACTTTGGTTGGGCCAAAATAATCTAAAAGAAATCGCATTTCCATATTATGTCAGTTATCACTAGTTTAAGAGTATGGTACCTGTTTCTCCAAACTCATATAGTGCGTAGCTTACCAGTGTTTGGGCCATAATGAACGTTGAAAGCAAAACGAATACTCGATTTTGCATATCGGATGTTGTGTACGACATCTTCCAGTACGTAAAACCAATGATCAAGGAAATAAACATGCAGGTGAAAAAGCGACCGAGATTATATCCAGGCGATCGCCAATATGCCAGCGCCATACGCTTGTGGACAAGATACAGTTGATACCCAAAGCCAGTAGCATACTTTAGGGATTCACGGGTGGGATTCTGGTTGGCACTCTGATGAACGCTCTCCAATTCGTTTTCCAATGCTTGAGCCTCCTCTGAATCCTGCCATAGTTGGGCCCAGTCTTGCTTTTGCTTACCGCCCGAGGCGGTACCAGCGCCAACGACTTCCAGAATATACTCGGCAGGATTCGCATCGGGCGGGCATGTTGGACCACCACGTGATTCGAAATAATCGATCATCGTGCGCGAGTTCTTGCCAATCTCGCCATAGTACGCGGTCTTGCCACCACGTACAAGAAGCATCAAATGGTCGAAATGTTCAAACAAAATAGCAGATGGCTGATGAATCGTACACAACACGGGCCATCCGGCATCTGCCAGTTTTCGAATAAAACGAACGATATTGTACGAACTCTGTGCATCCAGACCAGATGTCGGTTCGTCCAAAAACAGTAGCTTGGGCTTACTGACTAGTTCGACGGCGATCGTCAGCCGTTTGCGCTCTTCGACAGAGATACCGGAACCAGCATCTACGTCGCCAACTTGAGCGTCACCTATATCCTCCATCTCCAACAGAGTCAGGATTTGTTCTACATAGGCGTCCTTTTCCTCTTTTGGAACACTGGCATCCTGACGTAGATAAGCAGAGAATCTCATGGCTTCACGCACAGTGACGGCAGGCTGATGTACATCCATTTGTTCGCAATAACCAGTGATGCGCTCGAAGTCAGACATGAGCACTTCGTTGTTGAGATAAACTCGGCCTTCGACCGTGCCAATGGTTTTGCGTTTCGCCAACACATCAAGGAGAGTCGTTTTACCAGCACCAGAGGAACCCATCAATGCGGTCAAATGACCAGGCTTGACAATACCAGAAATATCATTGAGAAGTTGAAGAGGACCACCCTTGAAGGGCACAGTGTAGTTCATATGATGCCAAGAGAAAGTTGTGCCTTCACCAGCGGCTTTCATGTGATTCGTAACTTCTTCTTGACGTCGTAACCGCTCTTCTTCTTCCTCATTGGTCCTTGGCTTTGGCGCTTTACCGGGCAAGTACAGTTTGGTGAGTGAACCAGTACCACCTGGATGAAGGAATTCCATAGCCAATGCAGTCATCAGGGTAAAGAGTAGAAAGTATGCGACAACAACAACAAAATCGGGTGCCCATAGATAGGAGGTTTTGTACATGTAAGTGTCCATCAAGTAGTTGTCTCCGAGTACATAATTCTGCCCCGGTGTTCCGCCTTTCATGGTGCAAACTTTGTATTGCCAGTCATCGTATCCTGGTCCATAAGGTACTGCGTTGCCCGCTCCTTCACACGAATATATTTGGCCCATCATTTCGTTTTTAATAAGCGCTTGATAGCCGTAACCGAGTGGGTTCATCCAATAGATCCTGTGAGTGTGATCATTTAGTTTACGCGTGGATCTAAGATACTCATAAGCAGACACAGCTAGGTACATGACAACACTTACCAGTATAGCCAAGGATGCATTGTGGGGTACGGAATGACATAACCGGTGTAGGTAACCATAGTGATCAGAAGCGCACCAGTAACTTGTGTGGCCATGTACCAGTTGGTGGAGATACTTCCAAAAAACCGGAAAAAGCCGTTCATCATCATGTTGATAAATACAAGCACAATGAAGAATGTAAAAAACCGACCCGCATCCAAGTTCAGACCCATCATAAAGTAAGCACAGATTTCGTATAGAAGCACTAATTGTACAGTATTCGCATATTAGTTTGCATGAATGAATGCCATGTGGTGTTAAGAGAAAAAGGTAAAAATGAAGCACATTTACCTTGAACAATAGCATATGGGAAATCCAGAATTACTTGGGCAAGGTAAAATGCTCCAGCACGATACATGGCGAAATGCTTGTGCTTTTCCAAGATCGGCCGTCCTGTCATAAACACAGACAATTCTGACTGTGATATAAATGCATTGAAAAGCAACGAGAAAAACAGGGCACCGCCACGAGAGAAGGCACCGAGGCCTGTTTTTGGCATCATGAAGAAACATGACGCCGTGATCAAACCCTGTATTAGAATAGTACCATATCGCGAGATCAAGGCCTGTCGATCCTTGAGCTGCAAGTGAAATTGACGTGAAATGAGCGCCTTAACTTGCTGGTAAAGCGACGATGTATACGGAGCACGCTTTGGCGCACGCTTTTGATGCTCTTCTCGTACTGCTTCTTCAAATTCTTGTGCAGGTTGTGTTTCTGAGATTTCCTCTTCATACGCCTTGAGCGCTTCGGTCATATCGCGATAGATATCAGATTCATAATACAACTTTTCAAACTCGGATGAGTGTTTGGGCGCAATGTCTTCGAAACCAGGCTTGATCTCACGTTCGAGCGGATTACAGAGACCAGTGAGAAAATCGGGAACGGATTTACGCGGAGGACAATAGAATCCCAGGTTTTCAAAGTAGGCCTTGGCCCGATTTGTGGGTCCAAAATAAATGCAATAGCCATTGTCTAGCACGAGCACCCTGTCGAACAGTTTAAAAATGCTGTTGGAAGCTTGATAGAGGGTAGCGACCGTAGTTTTTTTGAAAATGTCTGTCATGATGCGCAATGACCGCACATAGTCCAAGGCTGAAGCAGCATCTAACCCTCGTGTGGAACAGTCCCAGCAGTTGATCGAGCTGAGCGTCGTCATGACTTCGGCAATCGAAAGACGCTTTCGTTCACCACCAGAAAGACCTCGAATAAATGCGTTGCCGACCATGGTGTTCATTTGCTTTGTAAGGCCAAGCATGTTTCCAAGTAGGTAAATGACGCGTTGTACAAAGATCTTTTTGGTTTCGTCTGCCAGTCGTGTACCAGGCGTCTTGCACCGCAGCGCAAATTGCAATGTTTGCTTTGTTGTAAGTCTAGTGTAAGAGATGGTAGTACATGGCATTAGCATTGTATACTTTGGCAACTAGTATTCCAATTTGAATACAGCAATAGTTACGTTGGGTAATGTTGATCCTCTTCTTCGTTGTAGACAACTTGACCTCGATAGCGCTTGCCAAAGGTGACAGCATCAATGCCACCGTAGCTGATATCGCCTTCGACATCCGTATACTGCTGGCGCATATTTGCCAGGATTTTTAACAGCGATGTACAGCCCGAGCCGGGTCGACCCAGAACAAGGAGCATTTCACCTTCTCTGCAAAATCCAGTCAAGCCACGCAAGATTGTCTTCTTGGTCCCTTTATTGCCAACACCAAAGAGTTTCCATGGCTGCAGCACTTTGGTCATTTGATTCAAGTTTGTGGGGATCGTATTAGCATCAGCACCCCACCCCTGCACAAAAAAAATACCCCTCCGTTAGTTTGGATTTGGAAGATAATGCACCCTGACAAGAAGGCTCGAGTAAATTTTTACCTTGACGACAAGATCCTTCCATATTAATCCAAGTCGCTTCATCTTGACTCCCGATTGTCCGGCTTGATCAGAGAAACCATTCAAATATTCGGTAAGGTTGAAGTCGTCACCATGGTCAGTTGGTTCACCTTCTTCGAGTGCTACACTTTTGCGTCGTCGTGTTTCTTTACGGCTGATGGTTGTCAGTTCACGTCTCAAATCATGATACTGATCGATCGCAGCTTTTTTGTAGAGATATTATGGGTTAGCAAGCTACTCAGGTAAACGCAGCTTTATACAAAGGAAACTTACTGTCAACGTCGACTTGATTAGCATCTGGTTCACCGAATGTATTATAATTGCCAGCCTCGGGCTCAACATAAGTTTCTGCCGTTCCAGCGTATGAGCTTCGCGGGGCCGCCTCTAGATCCTGTGATCGTCGCAGCTCTTGCTGAGGTTGTTGTTCTACCTTTATCTTTTCTTCATCCATGTAGTAGCCGTAGTAGTAGTAGCGTAGGAACAAGAAACGCAGAAACAAAAGAAGCGAGCACTTTTGTTCTTTTGTTTCGATTATGAAAATCCCCTGTCAAAATATACCCATTTATTACTGGTTTCGTTATGCAGTTAAACAAGTGAACCTAATCTTTTAAAGCTAATTGTAGTACCGCTTTCTCCCCATAAGACAGTAGTGCGTCACGCATTAATGAAGATAAAATGCTACCGACAGCTATAGCACAGCTATATGGTAGCATCTATATGTAGTTAAGAGCTCGTCGAGTAGTAATTCTATACCTCCTACTTAACATGGCGTGTTGCATATACGAATTTCAACAGAAGTGAGTTGTGAGATGACTGCATAATAGACATAGTGAAGGAGGCTCATAATGTATACATTATTTCACTATACATTGAGCATCTTGTGTGATTCAATAAAATATGCAAGTAAAAATGAATTTGTCAAAATCACCGCTTGCACGAATGTTTTTCGTCCAGCATCCTCCACATGTTTAAAAACACTTTCCAGGCACGTTTCTTCACGGACATTTGTATATTGTCGTTTATTATGGTCATGGATTCAAGCTAACACGACACACACACGTACACGGAAACAGTCTGGCTTTCTCTCTATATTCTACAGTCTTGGGTACGATCAAAACTTGCACCGTTCACTTTCGTCGAAACGATCATTCATAAAATAAATTCAAAAAATGTAGCAACGAGCCGTTACAGTTATGGCACACACAACTGCCAACACAATCAGTAACTAGCAACACCAAAAAAAGTGATAAGAGTGGCGACAGCGGCGACGATAGTAATAACGATCTTGAAGATAATCAACACGAATCACATATTCTATGTGTCGACGACGATCTAATCAGTTCCAAAGTGATTGAATTACTCTCACCCAACTTGTCCGAGACGTACATTACGTGTCCAGCGATAATGGATCGTACACTGGGGATCAAACTACCCTTTATTGTACTGATTGCAAAGAATATTGGCAAATATTTCTCATTTGAAGTCCAAGTTTTGGACGACAAGGGCGAAACGCGACGGTTCCGTGCATCCAATTATCAAGTGGCGACGCGTGTCAAGCCGTATATCACCACAATGCCCATGCGGCTCGATCCTGGCTGGAACCAGATTGTGTTTAATCTTGCGGATTATGTCAAGCGTGCGTATGGTACAAATTACGTTGAAACCACACGCGTTACAGTGCATGCCAATTGTCGTCTGCGACGGATTTATTTTACGGATCGATTGTATGCCGAAGAGGAATTACCTGCAGAGTTCAAGCTGTTCTTGCCGGTAAGTGTGTCGTTGCTCCTTTTGTAGTGATAACAAGAGGCTGGATGAGTTCGTCGTAAAGGATAATATTGACTGAAAAGCCAACCGTGATTGCACCATTAGATCCAACGAACAGGATAGATACCCCTATCCCTCTCTTGTTCATTTTCCCTCCTTACACACCCTTGATAACAAAATCTTTTCTTCTTCATTGTTTATATTAGAAACATAAAAGGGTTATTCTCAAAAAGTACGGACAATGCAAAGTGTGGTTTTTCGAGTTATCCCGAGGAAGATGAATATATATTTTTAAACTTTAAGATTGAGCTTGTGCTCCATAGCAGCATGAACATCCATCGTACCCGTCGACATTGAAGGATCTAGTAACATTAGATTTCTTTAGTACACAGTTCTTTGTCCCCAGTCATCATCCTTGTTCTCATCTCTTACCGTTCAAGAAGTCTTCAAATTCAATGGTCTCGTCTTTGCCCATAAGAACATCCAAGTGAACGTTGGATGATGGTAAGACGGGCATGCGCTGGCGCTATTGTAGATTCAATTGGTAACGACGTCAACCCATACATCCAAAGCAAAAGTCTGTTTCTTTCTTCTTCTGCCGGAAACACAACAATAATATTAATGATACACTACCTGACTAACGATATCTCGTTCCATCATCATTCGCATAGGTGCATGCATGCCGTGTACTTGTCGTGCCATATTTAACTTGAGTTCCCACTGTGATTCTTGCCACTTTTTTTACATGAATAAAAAAACGATCAGTTCACTGTAAAAGTCCTCGGTCAATGTATAAAAACGCAAGCAAATGCTGAATTACATTTTCCAATCGTTGCTGAAGAGGATGTCCGGGCATGACTTCGGACTTGATGGAACGTGTACCGTATCGAAGGGCATCATGACCACCAAGTTCACTGTGTCTCGTGTCAAATGTGGATTTGTTGTTCTCAACAGCTTGGGACGAAGAAGGAGCAATTCGAAGAGACTATGGGGGTGTTGAACGGTATAGATATTAAACGTGAGCGATCGCGAAATTAACGCTAATAGTTTCTTATTATTTTTGTTATATCTAACTTGCCATTGCACAAGGTATCAAAGAGTGTAAAAGTAAAAGAAGAAAAGGGGGACGCGCAAGCTCAGAAATAGCAGGACGAAGGGACGAGTGCCAATAAACTCAGCAGCAGCAGCAGCAGCAGCAGCGGCAGAATCAAACTGTCTGGTCTTTGCTTTCAACCCTTATTTAATTTTTACCAACTTTCTTTTGTGTTTCCATGCCGATCCAACGCAAGCAACGCAATTATAGGAAAAAGAAACCGGAATCCGACGACGAAGAAGAACAACGTCGAGAGGATTCCGTTAGTGGAAGTGAAGACGTGAGGTACACTGTTGATTCCGTTATTCTTTTCCTCTTCTCTTTCTCTCTTTCTCTTTCTTCCTTTTCTAAAAAGCTATTCTAAACGTCTTCTTTTTTTTTGCATAATATTTTTGAATCTTACTCTAGTGAAACGATTGAAGATTTGCAGGAGCTACGACGGCTACGGCGTAAACATGGTGGCATTGATGTCGACAAACTATCCAAAGGTGATAAAAAGAAAAAGAAAAAAGAACCAGCAAAAGAGCCGTCTGATCCTTGGAAGCTGTTAACTGGAGGCCTGGTTGACAAGGACGCTGTCCGCAAAGGTGCAAGGTAGCATATCATCTTCATGTTATACGAAAAAGCATGAAAGGGTTTGTGCAAGCTTACACTTTGCTAATTATGATATCATATACGTTAGACCCGATGATGAAGAAGGGACAGAGAAAAAGTTAAAGCTTGACACATTCACTACACAAACCAATGCGCTGGACGTTGATAAACACATGTAAGTATATGTAGCTAATGGCGGTTGCAAATGAGATAAAAAGGAAAATGACAACAAAGAGCTAATAGATTGAAAAATGATGTATACAGGATGGCATATATTGAAGAGGAGATGCGGAGACGACGTGGAGAAGCAGCATCAAAGGAGGAAGACGAGGAAGACGAGCAGCAACAAAAGGATGGTCTTGTGGACATCTATGAAGAACTATATATGCTTCCCGAACGGTTACGAGTGCAATCAAAGCATGTGGAAGAGGGCAGCGTACAATTATCGACACAAATGTTAACTGCTATCCCTGAAGTGGATCTTGGCATTGAGTAAGATTATATCTCGTAAAACAGCTGGTGATAGCAAGATGACCCGAGTATTGACAATTACATATATACTAACAACAACATTATAGTGTCCGACTAAAGAATATCGAAGAGACAGAGCGTGCTAAGCGGAAGTATTTGGATGAACACCGAGAGGAAGCCGTAAGTAGTTGTTTTCAATCATCATGGAACTATTGGGAAGAGTCCCTCTTTTTAACTTGTTCGTTTCCGTTATATCAAGGGCAAGAGTTCAAGAGATGAAGTACCAGCCAACTTTGAAAAACAGTTGCGCAAGTCAGATCATAGACCTCGTACGGACAGGCGACAAATTGCTACAGACGAAATTGTTGCAGAAAGATTCAAGAAGAGGATGCGTAAATAATAAAACTCATTTTATGCAATCTTTTTTATAACTTGCAGTGTGCTTTAGTGTGAGTGTGTGTCTGTGTTGAACGTGTGTATACATTGTGTGAGAAATATAAAAATCATGTGTAGTTTTGAGAAATGAATGATATGATGGCCTTATTTGAACATCTGGTCTACATATGAACTATAGTCTAATCCCATATCATTATCCGACAGAGTGACAGTAGGCATCTCCCGCACCAGATAGTCGACGTCTGGCTCCGTCATCATGCACCGTTTCAGATCCAGTTCAGTGACATAGGGCTTGTCACCTGCGATCGTCTGGAACGCATCTTGAAGCTGCTCGGGCGTCGACTTATCTTCGGTGATCGATACCATAAACTGAATAAACTGTTCGAATCTGATGCTTTCGTGATTCTGCGATGTATGGTCGAACAAAAGCCCCATTTCATAGTCGTCGTAAAACAGACCTAAACTAGCCAAGGCAGCCCGGAATCCTTCTATCGATAGGGTGTTGTGGTCGTTGGCAAAGTGGCGGAAGGCATGTTCGAACTCCTCCAGCTGGGCTGGCGTCAAGTTGGTCATGTTGCGTGATATACTCTGTTCCATTTGCTCGACATTAGAGATATCATTCTCACAAAAGACCTCTCTCTCTCTCTCTCACACACTTTTACTCCATACCTGGTTTTCAATAAAGGCAATCTTTTTCCGGATGGCCCGCTCGACAAGGCCAAGCTCAAATGTAAGATCTTCCAGTGAATATACGGTATAGTCGTTTTCTTCAGTGTTGGCTTCCAAACAGGCTTGATCCAGAGTTTCTATGGCTTGCAGTTTTTTCTGTAATGGTCCGAATTCTTGCGACAGTCCAACGACGCAATTGAGTTGGTTCTATTTCATCAAAAGTACCTCAAGTTTAGCAACGCATAAGACTTCTAAACGCTATATGCTCTATCTCTCTCTCACCTCAAGATCCCCATCAAGTGCAGCGAGCTCAGCAGAAATGGTATCCAGCTTTTGCTGGAATTCATTGGCAGCGTTAGCATATGCTTTACGAAGGTTCTCCTTGATTCTGGAAAAAAAAGAAGTGATATTATATCGCAGTTAACAACCTTAGATCCCTTTCCTTCCAGTTGTCAAAGACTTACTCGCGTATCTTGCTATTGATATTCCGGTGGTAAATGGCTTCATCCTCCAGCAAATCCCTCCAAACATTATCCAAGTCCTATAAATCATGTCAATGTCATTCAAGGGGTGCATCTTTCCTAATTAAGATGCTATAACTGTTACCCTTAACGTTAATCCATCCGGTGGGAAATAAGGCTTGAGATTGTACGTCTTTAGTTTGGTTTGGATGTTGCCTAGCAAGGTGTCCAACTCGCGTTTTTCCGAGACCCATTCTCGCTTTTGTGTGCTCTTGTACGTTGCAAACTCGACTCCCTTTTGCTTGGTCTCCGCATAAGAATCCGTCAGCTTTGTCTGCTGCCACCGTCTCTGTGCACTACGGACAGCTTGGATCAGCTGCAATTCAGAGTATCATTAGCCCTAGCACACACAATGATGTCAGGTGAAAGATAAAAACCAAAGACTTACAGCAGTAACACGTTCCTCATAGCTATGCTGCATCTTCCAAATTGAGTGCAACACATCTGCAAACTTGGCCACCCGACGTCCGGCAGTCTCGTCTTTGTCTGCAAAAGTTTTTTCATGCAGAGTGAATACAGTAAAATCAAAAAGTTCAATTATAAATCCGACTTCGCTCTTAAAATAACCACGCCTCTATTCACTCGTTCTCTTCTTTTACCTTGTGATGAAAAGGCATGGAAATATTGAGCAACATAGGTCATGACAGATTTTTCATCCGGCTTTTCGATATCACAAACATCCTCAACATCCAGCAGTTTCTATTGAAAGAGAGAAAAAGACAGGTCTCAATGAGTCACTGCAAAGAGCAGGAAAGAGAGTTTCGGCAAGACCTACTGGAATGTCAAGATATTTTTCTGCGACTTCAAAAGCGAGCGCCGTATTTTCATGTCGTTTAGACTAGGTGGTACAATGGTAGGAGTGAATACTGGATAGATCAATATGATAGGAGAGAAGCCGACAAACTTACGAAATCCAAGGCATCGTAGTCCAATAGGTCAGGGCGATGACGATGAATGAGGGCACAACTACCAAAGAAGTATATATATACATATATGAGAGTCATGTACACCCTTCTTTGCTTCCACAAAAGACGAAAACTTACAAAGCCAAACCATCCTTCCAGCTATGCGTGAAATCGCGTACATTGACTTCTTTGTAATTGACGGTCTTGCGCTGACACCATAGCAACAGACCTTCCTTGGCACTTTTACCGTCTTGACTGATATCATCAATAGTGAAGCGCAAAATGATCATCCACAGCATGCCCAGCACCAGCTTTAGGTTTTTATCAACGATGTCTTCCGCGCCAATGTTGGTCAGTGGCACGCCCCGTTCCATAACAAAGTTCAGGGCCTTGTTGACATTCTCCACGCACTGGATCCGCATACGTGGATTGGTGCTGTAGCGGCCCAGCGTTGTGTCACTTCCGCCAATGATTTCCTGAGTAGCAACAGAATAAAGAAAAAATAAACAGGTTACTTGATTTGGAAACCCTTCCTCTCGTGCTCTTGTGCTATATCTTTGGTTTGCTCTTATACCAGAAGTTGGATTAGCCGAACGCCATTGGCCAGGTCATTGCTGAGATCTTGAATGTGAGGAACACGGCCCATCTCAAGTTTCGTATTCACCCTATATGAGATTATATATTCCCCGTGTTAGTTCTTTTAGCCAAGATAAGTCGCGTCTCAGGATTCGAATTTAGCTTGCCATTTCGTGAAAGCTATAAGGACAGACACACGCGTCTTTTAGCATGATCAGGTAGACCAGTTGTTATGTGAGTGATCCAACGACGAGTGCAAGGAAAGAGAAAGACTTACTTTTCTTTTGGATTGCTTCCCATGTCTTATCCATAGCGAATACGACTGGTCAAATCAGCGAAAATGATAGAAAAAAGCAAAGGAGGAAGAAGTTGAAGATGAGAGAAAGAGAAGAGAGAGAAAAGGAGAGAAAGAAAGAACAGCACACAAGGTTATAGTCTGCAACAACAAACACAACAAAGAGAGTTTATGCATTGCATGCATCACGTGTGGGTCCTCTTTTATTATCTTTATTCTTCCGATATGTATGCATGCAATATGCTATTACACAGAAAGGCTTACTAGGAAGAGGAGGAGAAGGAGGAGGAGGAGAACATGGTAGTCGCCGAGCCGTCATCATCCGTACCACTATCCAACGACAGCCCAAACGCTTTCAAAGTGCCTACGCGTGAGCAAAACGGACAAGCTTCCGAAGAAATTGCTGTTCCTGTTGTGCAATGGCGATGGATGCGTGTGTCACATTGTCGGCATTGGCGTCCCACTGTCACTAGCTCCGAGCATGTCGGACAAAAGCTGACGGCGTCTGGATGGTGTTCTTCAAAGTACCGTTGCAGTTCTACCGTCGATCGCAATGACAGCGCATAATGACCACTGTCAACACAATAGTACAACCAATGATCATCCACAAATCGATCCAATGCGCCCTGGGCTTTCTCCAACTTTATGTCCAGCTCGCTTGCTACATGGAGTGCCGTATCGCTGGATAAATACAGATCCGGTGCTTGCATGATACCGTCCAGCTAACATAGCTCACAACGTCGTTAGTTCTCACTTATTGCAGAGCTTGAAACAATGAAACAAAGGGCATGTATACAAGATGTTTAAAGTAGTCGAGCTCAGAGGGTGTGTAGAGCGTCGCGCCTTGTGTGCCAACGTCTGACTTTGTGTTAACCTGATATGTTGTACATACATGTAATAGCGGGTTACACTTTCATTCTCCACTTATTCAGAGATGTCTTTGCTGTTGTCATTACCAGTAGAAGCATGGCATGGCCAGTACGTTCGTCACGCACAGTGCGCAAGGAGAGGTCGAAATTATTGATTTCGAGGTTGATAGTCAGAACGAATTCTTGAAAGTCCTCTGTGGGTGCTATATTTGGATATGGAGCGAGACGTCAATAACAATAATAATAATAGAAACGCGCGCACAGACTATATTTACGCACTCTGCTCAGCATTAGCAAGAATAGTGTCGTACAACCCTTCTGCGGTGTCTGCATCCACAATCCGACGATTCATGACCGCTTGCAGAAATGCACGATGGATATTGTTGTACACGCTGCTACTGTCCTTGCTTTGTTCAGACGACGCTGCCGTTTTAGTTTGGTTGCTGTCAGCCATGATTCTCATTTTATTCTTCAATATTCAAAAGAAAAGGACAGCAAGAGATGGGAGAGAGAGAGAGAGAAAGGGAAAAGTGGAAAGAAGAGGACAGGGGAGAGCTTTTTTCTTTTGTAAGAACTACACTAATACTGTTCAAAGACAAGATGCAAAAGGGGGCGAAACTCAGAAACCGTAAGGCGCCATTTGATACAGCGCGCTTGGACCTGCAGCAGCTGCGGCGGTGGCCCACACGGCAGCATGCTTGTCAAACGAACCGGGCGGATGGTAGCCAACAGCATTAGTGGGAAAAGCGGCGGCAGTGGCAGTAGGAGGAGGAGGCGGACAGTAATGATTCCCACCCACACTTCTGCTAGTGGCACCAGGAAAGCTCAACAGAGGTTCTGGCGTGACCGAGGGTGAGCAGGACACAAGGTCATCATCCATCAAGGGAAGCGGAGTAAGCACCATCTTGGCAGTCAACTCGGGCGCCAGCGCTGCCAAGTCCAAAAGAGCCTGCTGAAGCACGTCATGATTGCCCAGCAATACATGCACAGTTTCACGGCTCGCCTGTTTGTCTTCAGAAAAGTCGCCGCATCGAATCCATTCTCCTTGACTGCTGTTGTTGCTGTTGTTATCGTACATGGCAAAGCAGCAGTGTCGCGGGTCATCCAACTCTATTTCGAGCTGACCCTCCTGGACCAATCGCACCTGGGCAATAGTGTCCATTGGCACCTGGATCCTGAACAGGTGACCTTCGGCTAAAACTTGCCACGTCAGAGTTTTGTTGGTCGATTCCACAAAACATTTAAGGTCCCACGAGCATGGTGGTGTTGCTTGCTGACCCATAACAGCGGGTTGTCCACAAAAACGAGACCAGCTGCCAATGCGGAGCGACTGGATATTCAAGAGTGGTACGATGTCGCTGCTATGCTCGTTGTTGCTGTTGTTGTTGTTACCGGTCTTGTCCGCGCGTTCGGTAGCCGTAACCGTCGTCGTCTCTTTTTGCTGCTGATCTTGCTTGTGGTGCACTTGCGGAATGCCTTCGGACATGGCACGCATTTCAGTAACAGCATTCTCACCACATGATAAAGACAACGAGGACGAAGACTCGGCAGGCACTGAGGTAACTTTTTCGGGCTTGGAACTCGAGCGAGGTCGGTTACCATTGGTACGGCGTGTACTAGGAGGTTGTTGCTTGAGTTCTTCAAAAAGTTCGGGAGTCATCATGGTGCGAAACGTGGGTTGGTAACGAGGTTGGTTATGCAATCGTGCTTGCTCCATCCAGCGGGGCAAAAGCATCGAATCGTGTTGCTGCTGTTGATGATAATGGTGATGGTGGTGGTGCCCATGCTGTGGGTTGTCGGGATATCGGTGATGAGCAGCAGCAGCAGCAACGGGTGGGTTATGGGCAGATAAAGAGTTCGACAAGACTTCCAACTTGCGCGCCTTGGCACGGCGGTTCTGAAACCAAATCTGGATTGTGCGTTGATTGACGCCCAGTTCGCGGGCAAGTTGATTTCGCATAGGGGCCTCTGGGAGTGGATTGACTGCAAAGGAGTTCTGGAGCACCGTCAGTTGGTTGGGTTTCAGATGCGTACGTTTGCGTGTTGGCGCTGACGGTGATGCTGTAGACACGGAGGACGAGGCGGCAGAAGCGGAGGAGGCTGTACGAGCGTGGTGGTGAGGATGCTTGGTGATCATTGTTTTGTTGTCGGTGGTGTTTCAGACTTTGTACAGAGAACGAATGTGATGAGTGTATCAGAACGTGAGCCAGCACGATAAGTACAAGATAAAGAGAGAATGGGGAAGATATGTAAAAGATGGAAAGGAAAGTGGATGAAGGAAAGAAAGAGAGGGACGGAGGATCCAAGACGAGGGGGAGTTAAAAATGTTTCCATGGTTACACCAAACCTATTGCTTGCACCGACGCACCAAAGCCACGCGCCGTTCCGATCCTTCTGAACATCCCTCGGTTGTACACGATTCGGGGTATCACTTATAGTCTCTTATCAGCGTCAAGTTTAACGGCTGCCAGAGATTTCAATGGAAATCTGGAGGTGTTCTACGCCTGGAAACGTCTTGTTCAATCGACCCATCAAGAGGGCATTAAGCCCAAGTGAGAAAGATGTTATGTACCTAACAGTTCTTACGATCGTGCAGTGTAGTACGTCATCCCCGCTGATTGCCCTTGCCGCTACAAAGAAAAACATGAGGCTTTCACATGCACCGAAAACTTTGTTTAGCTTGAACAAATGCCACTAGCCTTGAAAACCATTCCGCGTATCCATATTTTATACTTACTACTGTTATCATCGGTGACGCTATTGCAACTTGATGGTAGTATTAGCACCACCGATGAGAGTATTTGTTAGGCGGCTGACTCAATTAAAGTGTGACAAGCAGAAGTAGATACATCAAAGGTATTTAACGTTCGGGCAAATAATACGTAGGTGGCAGATGATCCTTCAAGTGCTCTGGAAAGCTTTTAGAGGCTTTTGAAGGCTATTGACTACAGGAACTGCTTACAGCGCCGCTGGGTTGTGAAGCGAGAACATCCTATTCAATCACTCTACTTGTCTGTACTTGCTGCCCCAAATACTTTGCTGAATACAAGCCAGCCTTGTATTTTGAATAATAACGGCAATACGAATGCTTTTACATATCTCGGGCACACAAAACGTTTGCAATAGCTCGAATATTATTCTTAATGCATAGCTCATCTACTACTATATGTCGCATCAATAATAAAACCCGCCAAATCACACGCGTTTCCAGGTAAAGAAAAATGATTCGTCGTATAAACATTCATTATTGCGAATATTTCTGAGGGAAGCCTTCAAAATGACATGTTGTTGAGCTCGGTAGCATGCTTGGAAGTTCAGAAAACTGAAAGTCAAATTTTCTTACAAATACATTCTTGTTCATCTCTCCAAATTTGTTGATCATCATGCGATCGAACTTTGTAGCAGTACTTGTTCCCCATTAATATTGAATAATTCATAATATGTAAGTTTTCTCTAATCCATCACATTATATTAACCATGACTTACAGATTGAGGAGGCGGATATTGCTGCTACTGGTGAGCTGTTCTTTTCGCGAAATATACCATCCAACACATTCTTTCATTAAAATAAACAATCGGTCTCTGGTTTCATCTTTTTCATCCATCCGTCATATTCAATTTTATGCAGTCTGTGTACGATATATTTAAGCGAGAACCAATATATTCACTTCCCATCCTGGTAGCAGCTGTATCTTAATGTAGTCATTTAGACTTTTAAAGTATCCCAAGGGTTTCTCAAAATACCAAGAGGAGGGACAAGAGAATTAACAGAAAGGCTTTATTAAGTATAGATGGGCCAAATTAAAAAATGTCATGAAGGAGAAAATAGGTTAGTGGGAACGAAAAATTATACTTTAAGAAACCCTAATAAATTTGATATTGATGACTTTATGTTCAAAATCACCATCTCCTTTATAGGATAGCCTTTTTTTCTCTCTCACACGTAGTGACCTAAGATTAAAAGTGACATGTGCCACTATTACTGTACGCCTATTTCCGCCTCCGTTCGCCGTTGTCCGGCTGTCTCAATATATAACTTTTGAGTGCTACGTGTTGAAAGCATACATGATGATGCCTTTCTTGTCATCAATAACGATGGTGATAAACTCTTATGCCTGAAACGCAACCAGCTCGGTTATTACACCATACATACGACATAATCAGGTAAAAAGCTCCGGTTTCGGTGAACTTTACTGACCGTCATGGGTAACTATTACTCACACACCAATTACCGGACTGCTGCGTACATAGAATGTAAATGCATCATCGAAGCTAGACCTAATCTGTTCTTTTCAAGTATACTGGTCGGCTCAAGGGCACTGAACAACAGAATACGTATATAATCAGGACTAAGGAGGTTTTGTTTCAATTAACAAGTCAGTGTATTAGAAAACCCTGACAAACATAGATATGTATGGTGTAGAGAGAGAAATCCTGTCACAGTACAACATTCCTACTAGAAACGCACCCTTCTTTTATGGCAAATCACAACATATCTGCTATCAAATTGCGGGAACAATGGCTATTAAGCACACCTAAACTCACCCTGATGTATATAAACAAAAAGGAGATTTAGTACTATTTGCAGCTGTTGATCTTGGCGAGTATGCATAATGCTTCACATCAAGAAGAAAATGAACCTAAAAGACTCTGATAAGCACCACGCAAGATATATTAGTTTCATTTTTTTGCCCAACTCTCTATATTAAAATCTTCTTGTGAGTCATTTTGATCAATTAGTTTCATAAATGAGCCTTTGTAAAACAGCGTACTATACATAGCTGCCAAGTGTGTATAGAATAAGTATTTCCACAAAGTTTGCTGCTTTTGGGATCAGAAAGGAAACCTGCATAACACTTCTTTATCATACCGTATCAACCTACTCGTAACAGAGGAGGTATATATTAATCAGATTACATCGATCATACAAACCTAAACATTGGCACATGACTCGTGGGTAAACGCATTCGTTTCTCACACAGTTGATTAGTTTAGGGCGCGCATTTGCCGCTTGCAATTAGCCCTCTATGCGTGTTGATATTACAGTACACGTTCCTCGCCCACCGATCAGCTCTGACATATACCAAGTAGAAGCCCCTTTTGACGTAATGGTCATATAGTGTCTGCATATTAGCAGGACTCGCCATGTAACCTCAAACTTAATACCAATTTTTTTTTTGGAAATCCTATTATGTAAAAATCGCAGAGGTTGGTGGAGAAGAAAGGAGAGTACAGGAGCCGCCATGAAGGGTATGGGCAAAAAACTACTTTAACTTTTTCTATACCAACAGTATAGGTGGGATGATCAATCCGTTTTATCTCTTTCGCACACAGCGCAATATTTTTTGAATCTTTTTTTTCATTACTGCCGTGGGCCGTTCGGGAGAAGAGGGAAAGCATGGCGGCCTCAGATTGGCGAGAAGTTAAAGAAATTGCAGAAGCACGCTTATAATTACAATACTTATCGGTGGATTGCAGCGGTTGCAATTGAAGCAAATTTTGCCGAGAGAAAAGGGGATTCGTTTCCAATGGCATCGGCTTGCCACTGCCACAGACACACGCGTCTGCAAATGAATATATTTATTTAGATTCTCCCGCACACTTCGTTGCTTACGCCCTATTTCCACTCTATCACTGTGACTTTCATTGAGTAACATCTCCCAGCAACAGCGCGATCACAATAGTGCACAATCCATTAACTAAGGTCCTTTACTTCGAATGCAATTCTACTCTTTTTTCTATAATCTTCAAACAAGCAGCTGCAACAACAATTATAGCTTCTTGACCTCATCACTATGTGCTTTTGAGAGTTGATAGCCCTTGTTTTAAAGAATGTGCTGAGCAAATCCGAGATGTATTCGCTACTCTTGCGCCTGGAAAGGGCTAGAGCAATTTGAAAGATTTGTATATCACGGTGGCTCGTGTGCATGCTGGGACAGAGGAAGAAATGCGCCGCTTGGTTATTACTGTTTGAACCGCTCACGGCAGCTATGGAGATTGATCCTTCCCTTGGGTCGTCTCAAAGAGATTTACAGTTGCAATAAGTTTAGAGGGTATTCGTGATTGCATTTTCTGGCGATTAAATAACAGTTTGAAAACATACGACATATGTAGACTTTGGCCTCATGCCTGCACGGGTAAACAAGATCAGCAGACTGAGGAGTAAGTAATATGGTGCATCCTGTCGAAATAGATAGCAACGAAAGGTTTCCAGCAACGATTTTTCCCTTCCTACAGGGCTGGATTATAGTAGAACCGATCTGATATCTCTTTAAGTAGATGCATATGACCTTCTATAAGGGACCATGACAATCACCGGCTAACAACAACACACCAACAGTTCTTGGTCATCGAATAATCTAAGAAAGACAAAGGAATCTAGATTTGGATTTTGGACTACTCGCAGTGGCCAGGATCCAAATCAGTGCGAAAAAGATGTCCCTGTCAAAGGGTTACCATCATCGAATTCTGCATGAGTACGAAGTGTAGTAAAAAATAAGTAAATCTATCATCGATCTCGTCTTTATGGTATGATATCATAGGAGGACTAGAAGTCAGCTTTTGGGATGATTTGTGCACTTCTACTCTATATAACTAGAGAAAGCTTTCTCTTTTGCCGACACGGAAAGTTTGCATTACAAACAGAAGAGTCTCGTAAAAGCGAGATAAGGGCACCATATCATTATATACTATCAATGATTGTCTTTTATACGAGGTCATTCAAACTCTCCCCCCTGCACTACTAGGGCTTACTTCTGATGCTTGCCAGAGGGCCAATCGGTGCAACTATAATAGTTACAGTACGGCTTTGTTTGGCGCGTTCAATAGAAATATACTGTAAATCCCCGCTAAAGACATATAATGGTGTGTGTTTACTAAGTGGTTGGCTGCTATGCGCTTTGCTGTCTGCTGGCTAATGGCCATTTTTTTCATTAAAGAGTGTGTTCACTTTTAACCTCTGCTCCTTAGATCGATAACATTATACGCCTTTCCGTGTCCTCTGGTGCAAAGTTTATATAATCAACAGAGATATCGTATAACCTT